TGATACAGAACTGAGCAGAAAGTAAACTACTGGAAGGCAGGCAGACTGCACTGTGTGTGTGTGTGTGTGTGTGTGTGTGTGTGTGTGTGTGTGTGTGTGTGTGTATGCACACATGCAAATTGGAGCAGCCCTTTCAATGAGGCTCAGTGGAGTAATGTTCTTTGGAGGGAAAGTCAGGCTACATCATTAATAGTCTGTGGATACTGGCACTAATTGATCATTATGTTTATGGATTTTATTTAGCAGGGGACCTATTAATTTTCCCAATCCCAACCATCCTTTTTATTTTCTTAATGCGAGCAGTCTTACAATAAGAGGACTGGTATTCCTAGGAATCGGTAAGAAAAAGATGCTCTGCAGGAACTAATGGACACGTTTTGCCCTGAAGGATGTAAATAGTTAATTTCCCCATAGGTCTGTCCTGGCTGTGCAGCTTTCTAACTTGTTCATAAATGATCTGGTACTACAGTAGAGGAGCAAAAAGATCCACTTTGCAGAAGTTACATTATCCTGAACCAGCAAAAGGATCAGGAACAGTTTCAAAAAGACAGTGAAAAGAGAAATAGAGCAATATTGCATTTTTAAATATTCTGTGGGGGAAAAAAGTCTAACTCCAAAGGGAAGCATTGTGCTTATTCAAATCATGACTATGTTTGAACAATCTGTGGCCACAATTAGCCAATTACATTTTAGCCTAGAGCAGGGGTGTCAAAGTGCCGGCCTGCGGGCCAGTTTCATCATACCGGAGCCGCGCCCACCCCATTGCCGGCAATGGCGAAAAAGCTCCAATACGTCGCGCGACGTCACGTGACATCGTGAGTTTGACATGCCTGGCCTAGAGCATTGCACCAAACCATAATGGGCTCATTGTTCAGTATATCAAACACACCAACAAAAGTAGGTTTATAGAGTAAATCAGGGTTGTTAATTTGTTGTACAAATATGAAAACAGGCAATAACTCTTGCTTAAATGATTTTAAAGGGGGTTAAACAATTTCCTGGGAGAATCAGAGTCCTCACAGAGTTGGGGGCAAACGAGATCAAGTGATATAATGTGAATCTTATTGTGATGCAAAAAATTTTGACGCCATCATGGCTTCTATCTGAACCCTATGTCAAGGGCTTCTTATCACGATGGCTGTAAGCAATGTTCTGATTATTAATAGTGTCACTTCAATTAACAATTGATTGGAAGCCACAACAGGAAAAATATCTCATCTTGATTTCCTGTTTGTGAGTTTCTTAGAGACCATTATAACTGTATTTACACATAGCATTACTAACATGTTTTGCCGAACAAGCCATGCCAGCA